TCCTGCCTATGCAGGGGGTCGGACTCAATGATCTATTGAGGTCCCTTCTGACCCTAACATCTATGAATCTGTTTGTGGCTGACAAGCCCAATTCAAGAGCAACACAGCTTGTTACAGTTTCATGCATCCATCTGTTGTCCAAGTTGGAGTCCAAATTTACAGCATGCTGTTTTCTTCTTTCTCGGTTTGCTTCCATCCTCTGGACCAAAGCTGAATCATGTTGAGCTGCACCCAGTAGCAGAAGTTCCCTCCAGATCAGATGGGATTCTCTGCACTCCTCCCAGCTTTCCACACTGATGTTGAACAACTTCATATAATTTTTGCACACATTGTGGTACCTCCATAGAGGGTGGCCCTGCTTTCTAGAGCCATCTCAAATCTCATTATTCAATATATTCTTAGGGATATGGTCTTCTCCCATTCTCCTGATGTGGCCAATCCATCACAGCCTTTTCTTCTTGATAGTGGTTTCTAAGTGAGTCAGTTCTGTGTGCTCCATTACCTCTGTGTGTGGTATTCTGTGTTCCCACTTTATTTTCAGGATCTTACACAGACATCTCATTGGAAAGCTTTTCAGTTTCTTGATATACCTAGCATATGTAGTCCCTGTTTGTAAACCATAAAGCAGGGATGACAGCATACAAGTCTCAGTTGTATCTTCACCTCAGCTGACAGTTTGCTTTTATTCTGTGTACATTTCTGTAATAGCCTGAAATTCTTAGTTGCTTTTCTGATTCTGTTAGTCAGTTCACTCTGAAGGTCAAGATTCCTGCTCACTGTAGAACCCAAGTAGCAAAAACTGTCAATGACACCAAGAGATTTATCCTCCAGAGTGATGTCGGGTATTGGTTCTTTCACCCCTTGGTACATGAATACAGTCTTCTTGAGACTAATTACCATCCTGAAACTCTTGCATGATTCAGAAAATGTGCACAAGAGATTTTTCAGGGAAGATTCATTGTGGGCAACTAAGGCTGTGTCATCTGCAAACAGGAAATCTCTCAGAACCGCCAAAACTGCATGGACTTTCAAGACATTTTTTCACCTAGAGATTTTAGCCTAGGGAGCATGATGTGAGTGACAGTTTTTCCAACAATGTTCAACAGAGAAATCTCTCAACAGTTGTCACAGTCGCTTCTATTCCCTTTGTTTCTGCAAAATTGTATGAACCAAGCATCTTTGAAATCTTATGGTACCACTTCTTCTTTTCAACATGGCAGTATAACTTCATGGATCTTTCAAAGTCATTCATCATTAGCACATTTGTAGATTTCAGCAGGTGAACAGCCTTTGCTGGAGGCCTTGTTCCCAGAAAAATTGATTTAATGGCTTTCTGCAAATCTTCTAATGTAGGCTCACTGTCTAAATCCACTATAGCTTCAAACTGTGGTAATCCTTTGAGCTCTTCCTGTTTGACTGCAGTCTCGCTAGAGAATATAATTTCATAGCATTCAATCCAATGCTCAAGTTTTTGTTTATTAGTAATGGCATTTCCGTTTAAATCTTTCAGTGGTTGTATGGTTGTAGTTAAATGATTTACATTGGAGTACATCAGAACGAAATGCAACCCAAGTCTTTTTTTAGGCATACACATTCTAGCCTGGAGTTAAGTCAGATTCATGAAGAAGTAAAAGCCATTTCAATTAATTTATAAATAGATCTGTCAGGTATGGATAAGTCTGAACGTCACTCCTTGCTATGGAACCTTTGTAAAACATACAGACCGGGGGTGGGGCGTGGGGGTGGGGGGTGTCAGTAAATGACAAAACAAACGAACAAAAAGACTTTTGCTACTTTTCTGTAGAGGAGGAAAGGTCCCATGGGGAGCTATGCAGTCCAGCTCCACAGAACATTAACAGTGCTATGAAAACTGGCCCATCTCTCAGAGTTGTGATTAACACCAGTGGGGATGATGGAGATAAGCAGCAGATGGCTGGAAATCCTGCCTAAATTTCCCATGGCAAGCTGTCTAAAAAGGAAAGAGGACAGGAAGCAGTAGTATGAACAACAGCAGCTAGGGGGATGCAGCCAAAGGAGGGCTGGAGGATAAGCAACTTAAGCATGTGGTTTCATGAGCTTGCATTACATTACCCAGTAAGAATCGTTCACAGTTTAAAAGGGAAAGAGATGACTCTGATGCATAAACGAAAAGCTGAAGTTGGCACAGAGTCTGGGTAGGATGACAGCAGCTGGCAGCAGTTTTGCTTGTACTGACAGAAAGGAAACACAGAAAAGGGGACAGAAATATGACTTCAAAAGCAGTGCAGACCAAGGAAAGGCATGAAAGGGAGGTCTATACAGAGCAAGGTAAAGCCATACAAATATCCCAAGCAAGCTCTGTCCACACTTGCTCTAAAACAGGAAACAGAATAGTTGTGTTAGTGCAATACTGTACACAGATGAATAAACTCTGCGAGATTCCCCCTTCTGGAGCTATCAAATGCAGAGAGCATCTTGGTACAGTTCTGTTTGCACCAACAAAACATACTCAAAGGTGCCTCAGTCCCACACTAAGGTACCGAGGGACTGTAGAACTACGTGTGGTTGATGAAAGTGATTGTTGCTGCTAAAGCAGAGTGTTAGTTACCAGTGCTGAAAACATTACTAAAGTGAATTCTTGCCTCCCTAAAGGCAGAAGGAGAGGAGTTCCCCACCTCAGAATAAATAATGAGAGGTCAGAGACCACTACCAGTTAGGAAGTTCCTACCCATAAATGAAACTGAAAATAAATAGGAAAACCCAAGCTAAGTTAAATGAGAGCCTAACCTCAACCATTAACTTTACTGAAACCTCTGCAAAAATAACTTCTTTCCAAAAATGCTAATGTAAACAAACAAAAAAAGTTTAACTTTTGTTCTAGTCCAGTGGTCACCAACCAGTTTATCTCGATCTACTGGTCGATCATGGAGCCTCTGATAGTCAAATCTCAGTCTGTCAGAGGTTCCACAATTGGGAGCAGTAGGACACACGGGGCTGGACTGAGCCACACCCCCTGCCACCCAGGCCAGGCTGGATGAGTGGGGTCAGAGCCTGGGAGGCTTGTCTGGGAGGCAGCGGGGTGAGGTGGGGCAGGAGGCGGTAGATCCTGGGGCGCCCTTTACTTACAAAAAGTGATCTTCACCATAAAAAGGTTGGAGACCACTGTTCTAGCCCATTCTAACTTGGCTTTTAAACACCTCAAATTGTATTTTTGTATTGACATGTGAAGTTTCAAATATCTTATGTTTCTGATGAAAACTGTTTCCTTAAAACAATTTCATATTGTAGGCTTTAAAATTTCATGGACAAAATGTTACTAAAGAGAAATTGGTAAGACGAGGGAAATACTTTGAAAAACTTGTCTGCAATAACAGAATGTTAGAGAAAAGGTATCTTCCCTGATCTGCTGTTTTGGAATCTTGTATTTTTGTTTTTTTCTTTTTTTTTTTTTACTTCTTGTATCTATTGGATGGCCAACTGGACATTGGGTTCAAAAAACCCCAACAACTATAACATCCATATAGTTTTGAGCCAGCAGACTGCATCCTCTCCTATCAATTACACCTTTTCTACAATAATTCATGCATATATAATCTTCAAGTGTGATTATTGCAACTCATATCTAGAACTGAAATCATCCAACCTGACAAACCTGCAACAGGTACAAGATGAAGTAGGTTGCTTAACACCATATTCCAGTTTGAGTGCTCTGCTCTCTTCACTGGCTGCCTACAGAATCCAGAATCTAGTTTAAGGTTTCAGCCCTGATAGTCAAAATCTTTCATGAAAATAGATCTACCTATTGAAGAGCTTCTTCCTTTTTCAACGGCTATAACAGAAATATGTCCCTGAAACTGTGGAAGGTCAAGTAATATATTAACTAGAAGCCTGCACTCACAAGAGCTGGACTTAGTCTCAGAATTCATTTCCTAGAGAAAGAAATAACCTTGGACTTCATCATGTTCAGAAGTAAATGCAAAAGTTGTCTCTCTGCAAGATACTCAGGTTATGTTGGCCATAGATGGAGTACTATTTTAAATCTTACAGTACCTCTAGTAGGACATAAACTTGTTCTGTCATATTCTGTCCATAGCTTTCCAACAGCGCAATGGTTTCTTTCAGAGGTTGAAAGAGCTCATCTGTAGCTATCTGCCTGTCTCTCACAGCCAGAAGGTGTCCAAGAATTTCTACTAGTCCATTATAATCTCCTTTTATCAGCTGTCTTTCGAGTCCAGCATCAGTCACTTTTATAAATTCTTCTAAATCAGTCAGACTATCAAAAAAAAGAGATGCAATTTTTTTCTTTGAAAATCCTTTTCTATATAAATGTGAATGAATATATGAGATGTTAAACTGCCACGTTTTCTCACCTATAACATGCACCTTTCCCCACAAAATTTGGGGTGCATCTTTTAAGTGGGGAAGCTGATTTTCTGACTGAAAGGAGCACCATGTTTTTATTCCTGCTCCATAGTGCAACAGACATTACATTACTATTCAGGCAGCTGAAGGAATTATTTGACTTAATGGCTCAATGTTCTTCACTCCTCAGGTGTTAATGATTATTTCTCCTTTTTAATGGTCTTGACGTTCCACTAAACCAAACTAACCTTCTTCAGGGCAAATTTTGCTGTCAGTTAACTGCCCCCAGTTTTTCTCCTCCTATTTTACAGCCCTGGAGAGTCGTTAGCTTTCTGAAAATCATAGATCCATCCAGGGAGAGCAATTTTCAACAGCAGCTAGGTTTTAGTATTAGTTAAGTAAGAAGGGGAGGTTGAGTCAGCTGATGATTAGGCTCTGTCCTTGCTCTATGAAGCTATAACTCTAGAAAAAAAAAATCTTCATTCTTTCAAAAATAAGGCACATATTACATTCCAGGGCATGCTGTATGTGAGAAAATATGGTACTTTGCTTTAGGCCCCTCTATCAGGCATTAAATTTATCACACAATGTGTTAACCATGTGACAAATGATAACTTGGCACATGTTCAAGTGTTTTATCCTGCCTTAAATTGGCAAACCAGCCAAAAAGATATTCCATACGTGTTGGAACATCCATAGCACCTTTGTGCCTTAAATTGAATGTGTGGCAGGGGAGCTAATGGGCACCCCCTCCTTCCCAGCAAGTTTAAAGTCCTGCTTTACATGGGCTGCTCCATGTGTGAGTTTACAGGTGCTGGGTAGGGGGAACCGATGAGGGGAGCCTCTCAAGCGCTGGAATCGGGGATCAGATCCCATAACACCATGAAACTAATGTCTTCCCCTGGCCTCAGGGTTATCTATGTTTTACATATTTGTTATCTTGGGGCCATGTTGCACATTACACTTGCATTGTGCTAAATGTCCTTAAAATGCAAGCGACCGTGCATCCAAACTGTAAAACACATGCTAAGTGTGATCATATTGTAGCAAAATTATGACTTTCTGCACAAGAAATACCTCCAAATTGTATTATGTAACACATTCAGCTATCATCGGATCAATCCATGGAAATAAGAGGAATTTTCAGTCCTCACCCCTCTGCTTTATTAAATCTCCAAGTGGCATAAGGGAAGCCATAAATGTCAAAAGAAAGGATCCTGGATCTTTCACTTGTCAGGTTCCTCCAGGATCAAACTGAAAGCCAGATGACTGCTGCCCTGGAAGGTTCCAGCCCCAGCACCGCACTGGAGCCAGTTCAAGGCTGGTGTGGTGCTAAGGCTGAGACCAACAATAGCAAGCTGTGCATGTTAGAGATTGTAATAAGCATTACTGTGTGACTGCTCAGAACATTCTAACTTTAATACTGCACATATTTAACACATCCTAAGTGTCCTATGCAACTAGAGCCTTAAACCAGTGTTGATCTGACATCCTGTGGTACTAAGCCCCTGCAGTTCAGTTTGACCTCACTGGGATTCACATGTGCTCAGCTGTATAAAAATAAGACTATTTACATCACATGTGAAATCATGGTTAAAAGGATTGCCATGTTGTATGAAAAAAGTATTAGTGACCTTATTATAACCTAGCTTTAATAGCGATGGATGCAAATTATAAATTAGTTTCACTAGCACAAATTCTGCCCAGATTTACAGAAAGTCAAATAAGTTTGCAGAAATGGGTATACCTTTGTAGGGAGTGTAAATCAGGGCAGACTTCAGCTCATTAAAGCATTACATGATTATCGCTGTTGATAAGCAGAAAAATAGGAGGTTACAATAATTGTAGGTCTGATACAACATATATTTACCTTTCAGTGACAAATCTCAAAAGATGTTCCTTGAACATCCAGCTCCATTTCTTAATAATATTTAACAATCTCATTTTGAAAGGCTTCATATCAACTTTAAACCAGCTTTCAAAAATTCTGAAGTCTTCAAACTTGCTCATCTGAATGTAAAGATTCTCATAAATGTCAATCTAGAGAAGATAAAAGATATATTTTATGTAGATACTCTTCCAAATTTCACTCAGATATGAAGTTAGTTAAAAACACATGTGTATGTTCATTCTCTTGCCTGCTTTTTAAACTGTTCAGTAGTAGGAGGCTGTTCAGGCACTCCATTATCAGCATGAGCTTCAATCTCTTCAGTTGTTAAAACATGTCCATACAATAGAAACTGCTTCATAAACTCAGATCTATCATCTATCCACAGATAGGCGTAAGTGTCAAGAGAATTTCTGTAGTCCAGGGCTTTACTGGTAACATCTGCCACTCTGTTCAAAATCTCCTGTCTGATTTCACATAACTCTGACATATTATCCATATCATTCTAGGCAGAGGGGAAAAGTAGTTGTTTATGCAGCAGTAAACTAAATATATTAAGTAGTATACTAATTATATAAATACAAACAATTAGCTACTCTACATTTGCTATGTAATGCAAGACTGAGAAATGACGCCCTACTCTTCCTCACTTCCATTAAAAACTATTCATAAACAATTTATATATCTGCTTAATACTGGGCCATACCCAGTAAATCCTAAAAACAAAGTAATTTAAGCCAAAGGAAATATTTTGCAAATCATTCCATTAAAATTACTCAGAATCTCATGCAATTTTCACAATTTAAGTCCCCAGTTTATTGGATGGGCTTGTCAGGAAAAAAGATTACAAGAAGCAATGCTTTTTGCAAGTTATACATTAATTTGCAGAACTCAAATAACTGAACTGCTATTTTACAATTAAATCTATTATTCCTTTATAGAAGACAAAGTTATAAAAATACCTGATAATGTTCTATTTCCAGATGTGCTGCTACTCTTTTTATCTGGGCAGATATTTTGAAAATATTGCCCAAAAGTTCATCTATTAGGTCATAAAAGCTATCTCCAGCATCTCTATCCAATGAAGGTTTAAACTCAATCTCTGGCCCGTTAAGAATTATTTGTGCCTGAAAAAGTGGAACAGGCTTCCAATTTTTCTCAGTATTCTCCAAGAAATAATCTAAATTATGCATTATAGAATTAAATAAACCATCAACTACAATATCATCAATATACTCTATATAAATCTTCCAAGAATCTGAAGCAGAATCAGCTTTGAGGAGCTTTAAGTTGTCCTGGAAAAACAGAACACAAAGAAGAATAAAAAATAGTTAAAACAATTTGATTAAACAAGCATCTAGCATAAATTAGTCTTCATTCAAAACATATCTGCTTCTATTCTCTTTCATTTAGTAGGGACAAAGAGTAAAACAAGACTCCAGTGACACCTATTGTACCAAGTAGAACCTCAGTATTGAATTTTTAACTGCCTGGAGGACCTGTTTGACACTCCACTTCAGTGGAAGTCAATATAAAAGAAAGGCACCTCTTGCATGGATCAGACTGGAGATCAGAACACAAATTATTATATTTAATTGCAATTTTGGTGGAACACTCCCATTTTGAAAGAATACCTCTGCATGCTGCAACAGCACATCACTGCTTGTTCTGCACTCCAGTATCATCCCTTTAGATCCAGCTAAATATGACATACTGAAAAACAAAAAAATCCTTATCCAGTCCCATTCTTAATTAAAAGCAATGTTTTTTGCACCAGAGTAAATACAGTTAGACTAGAATGTGGACATGATGATGTTCCCAAATTAGTGGTATTACAAATAATGGTAATAAAGCAAAAATATTTAGGAAAAAAGAAAAAGATGCAATAAATTGGCGTGAGTAGGGGAAATATTTTTTCAGAAGAGGATTTGATTCAGAATTACTTTCTTGCAGATCATCAGTAGTCATGTAACACAGCAGCTGATATTTAGGGACTTTAATGTTTTATTGACCATTGATAAACAACAGGAAAATTAAACACTTTTGATTATATATGCATATTTAGGCAGATAACTCAAGCAATCTTCAAAATTTAGAACAAAATATTTCAGAATATGTCTTCTGTAAAATGGAACAGCTCCAGCTGCAGAGGTGACTGCCTATGGAAATCACAAGAAAAATTTAGTTCAAGGAACCATGGTAATGAAATTGAAGTCTTTACATGGTAGTTATAAAAAAAAACTTATCCTGTCTTCATAATTAATAAGCTAATTAAATACACTATACATTTGTTCAGTTAAATACTAACAATTTGCAGACTAGGAGGCTAAACATTTAGTTCTTCTTCTGTCACTACAAATATAGTTTACTAGTCAGCAACTGAAATGCATTCTTCATCAGATACAGATTGTATGATTATGAATAATCATCACAAGAATTCCTCAAAAGCACAAGAATTCCTCAAATCATCACTCACTCCTCAAATTAGAGGCTCAGTTAAAATGTACTTATTACCTCTACAAGCTTATGGATCCGGACGCTATCCTCTTGTAGCAGTTTGTATTTCTTAGCAATTCTGTCCCCTTTGTCTTCCAGATTTAGCAAAGCTTCGTTCTTATTATCTTTCCTGGAAAACAGTGTGTGCTCTGTCCATGCGTTCATAATTTGCTGAATTGTTTTAATGTTATCCTTTGACTGTTGAACTCTCTGCTCCAAGTGACACACTGTCGTTTTTACTTGCTCAGTGTAGTCCCAGCAGTTCTCTTTTTGCCATGTAAATACTACTTCTGCTTTTTTTAGCTGATCATCAATAGTCCTCAGTTCATTTTCAATCAGGGGATATTCCACCTCCAGAATAGTCTGCTTAAGCTTGTTGTACCACTGAACAATGAGTTCAAGGTTTCCAATGTACTATTTTCATAGTAAGATAGTCATGCATTAAAACACTCAGTGCAAGGCCCCTGATGTTATATGAATGTCTAGGTGCCCCTTAATATGTACAGAGCACCTATTCAGTGGTGTCTTCACAGTAGAAGGGAAGGCCTTAAATAGACCAACTTTCAATGGGCTACTGGGGAGTCTGGCACGAGACCAGAGAACGTATTGGATCCACATTCTAACAAAATTCCAGCCCCCCAAAGCACCTGCACAGTTGGCATGTAGCAACAATGCCCAATATTCCAAACTTCACTCTGCCCCACAGGTTCCCTGTTTCAGGGTGCATTTCCACAGTTATCCTAGATTGTATAATAATAGGGTAAATCATTCACACCTATTGAATAATTGGAGCAGGTGAAGCATGTGCGCGCACACACACACACACACACACACACACACACAAATATGAGCTAGAAAAGGTATGTCTTTCATGTTCTGAAAGCACATACCTTATCAAAAGTCTTCTTTTTCTCAAATATTGATAAAGCTGAAGCTGGAATGCGAGTCTGGTTCAAAATCTGTAGGTATTTCACCTCTCTCAGCAGAGCCACTAGCTGTAGGAAATAAAGAAGCTGTACCTCTTATTTGTTTAATTTCAGGAGGTACAAGAAAGCTTTCATTTTAATTCTGTGCATAACCTGAAATACTAAGGCAGTAAGATACAATGGGTGTGTCTGCACATGTATTTATACGTGCCTAAACTTAATGCGCCTTGCTTAAGGTGCATTAAGGCGATTTAGAAGTGCATCTACACATGGACATGCTAATGTGCATTAAGGCACATTAAATTTAGGCATGAATAGCTAAGTCACATTAGCATGGTGTGTGTCCTTTGGCACATACTGTGCTAATGTACATTAGCAAATCTATACATGCGCTAATGCAACGTAGCTATTTGCACCTAAATTTGATACCTGCTTTATGCGTATTAAAGATGCACATGTATAGACATGCACCCTTAAATGTGCTTTAAAAACAGTAATTTTAGGCTAAGCCCATTTAAAAAGGCACACGTAGATGTGCCCAATATGGCATGAGAGCATATTAGAATGCAACACCTTTGTTAGAATTTAGTAGTACGGGAATGAGGGATCAAATTTTAGCAATCTGAAAATAAAGAATGCTGTATACTATACTATACAGTAAGTGCCACCTATTATCATCATAATTATTTTCTTTCAGATGCCTCCAGAGAAATCAAATACTATTACAATAGCTTTCTTTATTTCTGTAGTTTGGAATTCTATCCAATGCAAAGAAGAACTATAATTTTCCAACTGAAAAATTAAGACTGTGAAATAAACAATCACAGAAATTACAGAGAAAGCAAATGTTATTTTCCTAGCATGAAATTGGAATTTAGTCATATACTGAAGATATTCACTTTAAGGATCTTGCCAATTTAAAAATCTCAGTTTCTTCAAGAAAGATTTTTATCAGGGAAGCAATTTTGAAATTGTTGTCCAAGTAAAGTGGCAGGGGCACAGAAACTACATGTCCAAGACTGACTTAGATAAGGTTATGGAAGAATGACATGACAGGACACAGATTACTATACACCATTTGGCCTGCGTGATATGGAGTCATGTAATTGTAGCTCCCAGGCTAAGGTATAAAGATAATTCTGTAGTGTGTGATCTTGTTCCTTGTAGCTGTGGGTGAGTATCTGAACTGGTGATTTTGGGGATTTCTTTGAATAATGACATCCTGCAAATGCAGGAGACTTGAGTCAATGGCCCAGAAGGCCCCTTTCAGTTTCGTATTCCTAAATCAAGGGGACAAAATTGAACAAAATGCAGTCATTTGTAATATGTTAAAATAAATACCTTAGGGTCAAAATTCACACTCAGGAGACCATTTTCCAGATTACGTTTAATTAAAGGTTGGTTTAAATTAAACTGACAAACTTCATCCACTTCAGTTTTCCACTCATTGAAGATGTGATCTTCATAACTGTCAAGTAAAGTCAACATTTCTAAATATTTCTGATAAACTAAAGAAGCTTCAGGACCTTCCAAGATTCTATGAGGGAAATAAAACACATATAGTCCATTTTCATTAAAACATAACATAATTTATTAAATTAATTTATATGCAAATTATACTGCCAACTGCTAACATGTGGAGAAAGTTCTATATATTCTAAATGTTTATTTTTAGTTATTCATAATCTTATCAGTCAAGCCACATAAAAATCTGAAAAGATCAAAGTGGGAATAGATCCATTTTAGCCAGTACAAGCAAAGTTAGGGGAAGGATAAGCATCATCCTTCTCAGTGGCTGCACTCATTTCCCAGTGTTGTGAAAGGCCATCCCTCAGAATTTAAAATAGTATCAATTTCTCATTATCACTGTTGAAATTACTATATTTTCTCCTAATGAAACATTCTGTTCATAGTGCTGCCTCTTAAAAATATAAAGATTGGACATAAAAGATACAAGTACAATTTTTAAAACCAGCTACTATAAACAACTTAAGTAAATAGCCTAAGTTTTACTTTTGAAAATTTTACCTATATAAAACAAAACTTTTTTTTAAATAGGTTATAAGACAATACTGTTTCAGAAACTAAGTTTTTCAACTTTGCTTTCCTTAATGTCACATTCACAGCAACAATGAGACAAACCTCTTACAGATATTAAAAATCAGTTCCAAGAGTATCACAAGATACACGTGCGCAGATACAGAAATGTTAAAGTTCCCAGGCTAGTTCTGGAAATTTGAATATTGTTTCATGTATACAAGGGTGGCAGTGTTGTTGCGGTCATGATGATCCAAGAAATATGCAAGATGATATTTTTCATGATATCTTTTATTGGACCAACTATGGAGTTGGGGGGAAAGGGAGGAGAAAGAGAATAAAAGATATTACAAAAAATACCTTTGCTTTTCACGTATATACGGCACACATAGTGGACTCCTGGGAAAGAGACACAGGTAAGTTTTATTATTGTTCTTCACGGATAATTACAATTCCTTGTTTACAGGTTGTTAATCTTCTAAACATAAATAAGTGCATGAACACTTACGGATGAGACAGATACGATAGGTATGACCAAAATGTCTGTATCCGTCCTTTGAGTTCTTTGGACCACTTAATATTTCCTGAAGTAAATGGCATATTTTTGTTTATGATCTCATTCCCTTCTTCTACCTATGTGTTAATATAATAAGAAGGTTGATACAAGCTATTACGATTTAAAAGTCTAAGAGAAAAAATGAGAACTAAGTTTTTTGTTTGCTACATACCTGCTTAACATGCGCATCATATAAGCGTTTACAATTATCCAGCTCTTCATCAAACATTTGCAGTAAAATGTTATAATTTGGGTTAAAAATCTCCATAATTATAGGTTTTTCTAGAAAGTGCCCAAAGATGGCTAGAAGCTATAAAAATCAAAGTTAGTGTCAGCTTCCATAATTTAATACTTAAAATTAATTTTGATTAACATTACTTTTTTTGGTCTTTTCTCACACTGAAAATCTCTCAGGATAACTATCACTGTTGAAATACCTGAATCAGGACCTTATGCAATCTACCTCATCAATTTTCACCAGCTGAGAATCTGATCTTATAAATATACTAACAAGCTATTAAATTGTACTAAATGAGTAAACTCCAGAAGGTGTGAAGTGTGATGGTTCAATTCATGTCACTTAAAAGCAAGGAACTGTGATTTTCAGATTGAACGGAGATGGGGACTCTTTCTCCAGGTGCCTTCCAATGCCTGTATGCTTCTGTAATCTTCTCTATCTGCTCTTTCTAGTCTGATAAATCCTTGTTCTTCCAAACCATCACGGTTTCACTAGTTTAACTTAACGCTTCATTTTAGGCTAATGAATCTGGAAACCGGCCTATTATTACAGTATTAGTAACTCAACAATCAAAGGACCCAGATAAACGGGCATGTCCCCAGTGAATGTGGATGTTACAAATAGTGTTAAGAAATAGGGAAGTTTTAAAAAATCTAAATAAAATGTAATCCAATGAATTTCTCATATCCCTTAAATATTCTAGACATAAAACATTCCATGTCTACTATTTACCATGTCTGTAAAGGGTACGTATGCATTCATAACTTTATTAAAAATGTCTTCAGCATTGAAAATCTTAAATTTGCCTTTTACATTGATGTCTGTTGCAAAATGACATTGCTATGCTGACAGCTGGATTTTACCCTTAGATTCTGACTTTCCACTTGCTCGCAAGTTAGTTTAGGACGACGCTGACTGTTAAATGACAAACATTTTAATGCTTTTATTACTGACCTTAAATGCTGATTCTAAGCCTGAACAGTGAATAAATCCCATACAAAGAATGGACCCAAGGCGTCTTTCAAAATCCAGGATTTGGGCTTTAAACTCCAAATAATCAGTTTCAAACTCCTGTACAATATAAATAACCCTAATTTTAAGTTGTACTGGGGGTAGATTTAATACAGTAGAAAACAGATACAGCTATCTCAACTCTTTCTGGAAGAGCACCAATAAAATGCAACTTCTAACATCTGTTATTGAGTTTATTGAGGATCTTAAAACAATTATGATGCCTTAATGTTTGCTCACCCTTTAAAGACATTTGAAAGCAATTTAAGAGTATCTGCATGTATGTCTGCATGTCTATAATCCTTTGAAACAGGTTCAGAGAAAAATACACATTCAAATAGTTCTGTAGAAGGCAAGACAGAGCTGCAGAAGTGAAATAAAAACAATGTTCTAAAGAAGTGTGTCACAATATGTCATCAGGAACATTTATAAGCATAACTTCTGCTCCCCAGTAACCTAAATGCAGTGATGTTTGCTGAAAGCAATGTCAAATACATAAATTAAAGGAATATGCATTAAGGCTTTGTCAAGCTTCTACCATAAATAGTCCCACAGAAGCCCTGGAAAATCCCCCATAAGGTTCTACAACAATACTGCAGGGGTCTTGCATACAAATCTGGCAGATCACAAATTAACCAAGTAGTTCCCAACACTTTTTCCCCCCAAACGTTTCACTTAGTCATACACTTGACAAAAGGGAGTTAATTCTATTGATTTGATAGTTGTTAAAACCTCTTAGCAACAGTAACTCAGTATCCCAGCCTCTATTTTACAAATAAGCATATTTTTTGCTCAAAGCAAAAAGGCCAGTGTTAACATTTTCCCTTTCCATCAGAAGACAGGCTCAAAAGCATGTGCAAGGAACTTTGGCAGATAACTATACTGCATAATCTAGACAAGGCTGCTCTGAGGTCTAGTATCTACCTACTTGAAAAGTAGCCTCTATCCACCCGATACTTCTGCTGATCACAACTGAATAGGCATACAAGATGAAGCAATAATTCTCAAGCAGGATGCCATAAAATCCTTTCAATGATGTTGAAGCATGCCACATAACATTAGCACTCTTAGGCCCCATCTAGAAGTTACATTAAAGGCAGGGGTGGGCAAAATGTGGCCTGGGGTCAGATGTGGCCCATCAGGACATTCTATTCTAATTTAGAAAATTTTTTTTTGAAAATTAATATTAATCTGACCTGGGCTGCCTGTCACGTGGCCCTCGATAGCTTTCCGAAACTCAGTAAGCAGCCCTCTGCCCAAAATAATTGCCCACCCCTGCATTAAGGTGCGATTAACCAAGATTAACCTGCTAATCATGTCTTAAACTGTGACCCAGGCATGCATGCAATCAGTTAACGTTGTGTTAAAACAAGAAATAAGGCACAAAGTTATTCCACAAAAACCATATAATTACTTTGTGGCTTGCTCTTATTCAGTTGACATGATGTTTGGCCAGGTGCTTCCCCGTGTCTGGGAGCCTATGTCAGTTGACGGGATACCCAGCCATAGCGAAGCACTGTACACCAATGCATGGGGTGCTCCCTGGACTGAAGACCCATCAACTGCTAGACTCCCAGCTGCAGGAGCTTGCTACTTGCTGGTGCAGGGGGAGTTTAGGTTTGTAGTCCTGTGCTCCCCCTATACCAGCAATAAGGCATAATTGGACCTGATACTGCATCCCACAATCGTATCTCCTGCCATGCACATGTGGCATGGCAGGAGGTGCAATTGTATGGAGAACAATTCAGATCCTTTCGTACCTTTATCTGAACATCTGTCAGGGACCTTAGGTGTGCAAACACCTACACATGATTGATTCACAGGATAAACCCAGAAATTTCAAATAGGAATCCACAGCATCAAAAACATTCTAACCTGTTGTTGTCTTTCCAAATTCTTTCCAATAAGAAGAAGTGATCTGTTACACAGTCACAAAATGAGTGAAAGCTAAGAGCTGGCTTTTTTCAAGGGTTGCCTTGAGTCTAAAAAGGTTGAGAAACATTGAACTAGAGGCTTCAGATGGGAGGTGGCTGAACAGCTGGACATTTTACTCTAACATCTGAAATCACCACCTCACACTTAGTCTGAAGTAACCTTAGATTGTTAACCTCATAACATTGTTAATCTATCCTTTTTAGTGGGGGTGGGGGGGGAGAAAAATAGGGGATTAATTTTGTTGTGTTAAAAATTTCAATAGGTGTTGTTAAATAAGTTTTTTGCCATTTTGTTTTTGTAAAAAATGTTCTAACTAATGAGCAGGCTTCAGGTTCTATTGGATTGGCACAATATTGTTTTTCTTTAATTGGAATGAATTTAAAGTTAAATAAATAGTAAATTCTATCTCTTAGTCATGTTGACAGCATTCTCTGTTAGGTCTTATCAAATAAGACCCACTATAATCAAGATGAAGAGTATATTTGTATTATTTGAACTGGAACTCAATTTTACTAATAATACTGTAAGAAAAAAACACCAGGCATTAATAGTACAAATAACAGGGAAAAAAACCCCTGAACTGTTTAACAATATTTTGTTGAGGAGGGGTGAAAAGGAGATGCATTATTTCTGCATTTACCTTGAAACTGTGCCAAGTAACATTACTCCTTACTTTCATTCCTATGTCATTAGCCTTTCAGTCAAACACATTCTACTTACGATTAAATCAAAAGAGATAAGTTAGACGCGTTAAAGCTTGTTGGGAAGCTCTACCAGCATCTAGCTTAATCTATTCAAATACATGAACTTTTAAATCAGCTGACTAACTAAGCAAAGATACCATAATGTTTAATTAAGATAACTTAAGACCCAACAGCTACTGTATAGTAAGCAACAGAATAGCATTCCTTTCCTACAGGACAGCTATCTAAATCACAGTACTCCCTTAATCTCTCAAAGATAACAGCTAAGGAGTATTGTTCATAAAAAGATTCTGAGTGCACTACAACACCCTCCAGAAAAAGCATGCCTCTTGACTCTTTAGAGCAGGGGTAGGCAACGTTTTTTGGCCGGAGTGCCAGAAAAAACCACAATGCTTACCTTGGAAGGTGCTGGAGTGCGGGCATGCCAGAAAAACAAAATGAGGGTGGGGGTACATGGCAGGATGCCCTGCTTGTGCCCCTTGCTTCTCACCCAAAGCCCCTGCCCCCCAGCCCTGCTCATGCCCCTGCCCCCCATCCCAGGCTCTGTGGCTATCAACAGCTACCCAGAACCTGGGATGGTTGCAGCCGGGAGGCTGTAAACAGCTGCCTCCTCCCCAGCCCCGGCCGCCTCCCAGCCCCAGCCCCAGCCCTGGGCTCCAGGGAGGCAGCAGGTGCTGGCGATGCTCCCTGCTGTGCTGACCTCACTGCCGCTTCTCCAGAGCAGCGTGTGGGACCTGGCACGACATGACACCGGGGGGGGGCGCAGAAAGCTGTCTGCTGCTCTGAGCTCCCCTCTGCCCTGGCCACTCTTCCCCTGCACACAGGGGCAGCAGCAAGGGGCACAACCCTGTGTGCTGCCCACACTGATCCCCTGCACACAGGGAAAGCGTGATCCGGCAGCACAGAGCTTGCAGCAGCAGGCCACTTCCTTGTGTGGCCCCAGTGTGCTGCCACTCAGGGTTGCACACGCTGTGCTCTCAGCCCTGCTGCCCTCCCCTGAGCCCTGCAGAGCGCAGCATGTGTGACCTGGAGCAGCAGCGCACAGAGGGGCCACACAGGGAAGCTGCCTGCTGCTGCAAGCTCCGCGCTGCCTGGGTCACACTTCCTACGTGCACAGGTGCAGCGTGGGCAGCACACAGGGTTGTGCCCCTCGCTGCTGCCCCCACCTGCAGGGGAAGTGTGGCCAGAGCAGCGGGGAGCTCGGAGCAGCAGGCAGCTTTCTGTGGCCCTCGCAGTGTCCTGCCGTGCCGGGTCCCACATCCTGCTTTGTAGAAGCAGCAGCGAGGGCAGCACAGCAGGAAGCGTCACCGACACTTGCTGCCTCCCCAGAACCCAGGGCTGGGTCTGGGAGGCAGCTGGGGTCAGGAGGCAGCAGCTGTTTGCAGCCGGCCCAGGTCGTGGGATGACCCTGCTTAAC